CTATAGTTTTCACCCTCCCCCCACCCTGGCGTGGGTTAGGTGGGTCTGTACCCAGAGGTAGGTGCTTCCGGTTAGGACTTGTCACTGTTTCCCAATAGCCCTGTGTGGGTGGGTTGGGAAAGCTGGGCTGGGGAGTTGGTGCTGAGAGCTAGCAGGGACCCAGAGGTGGGAGTGTTTGGAATTGGGGGGGGGGGGCAGAGAATCAAACAGGCCAAGGAGGAAGGGAGTCTGGCCAGCATCAGTGTTGTGTTGTCACTCACTGAGAAGCTGCTTTGGGGTGGGTGAGAAGGTTGCACGGCTCCTCAGTGTTGAGCGGATTGGGGCTTTGTCTTTAGCAGAGTTTTCTAGTTCTGACCCCAACGAATGAAAGAATGAATAACCTTCCTTTCCTTCCCTGAGGCTTGGTATTGGGAGGGGCAGCCCTAGGTATGGAAAAAGGAGTCTTTCAGGTTTATTTTTAATAGCACCCTGTTTTTGAAGTTGAATCTTGGGAGTCCTACAGTGTTGAATTAAGTGAAAATTGGTCTACCCGGGAGAAGGACCTTTGGGATAGGCTCAGGAATGTGCAACCCAGGGAGGTGAGTTCTGGTCTAGAGGCACTCCCCATGGACTGGTCTGGCCCGGTCTGGGTCTGGTTTATGGCTCTGATGACCACACCCTGCCCCACCCAACTTGGTGAATTGGGAGGCTCCCTATGCAGGTATGTTGAGGGTTTGAACACCAAACAGTCTCTGCTGACTGTAAACACTTGTGAGGTGGGGACTTGGGGGCTCTGCTCTCCTGGGGGCCTCCCTCTGCCTGAGCCTGTCAGTCAGTCACGAGCTACTGAGTGAGCTCTGCCCTTCCCATCATGTGCGAGTAAGAGGTCATTTGTGGTGGGAGAAGTGGTCTGGACTTCCCCTTCCCTCCCAGCCAACGCCTGCTCTTTCCACATCTTCAGGGGCTAACTGTTTTCCAGAGCCTCCAAGCAGGTTGCTGTGCCCCCTTGCCCCAGCGTATTCTGCGTTTTGCCTCTAGGATTCTGCTTTGCCTGGCCACCCATGGGGTGCTGCTTGTGCCTTCATTCACTCGTTCAACAAGTCTTGATCGAGCTCCTACTATGTGCCAAGCACATGGAGACATCAATGAACAAAACAGATGCCTGCCCACATGGGATTCTGGCTGTCACTGCTTGTTCCTGAAGCCGAGTTTGCCTCCTGAGCCCTTGTCTGTACCTAGCTCCTGGCCTCGCTCTTTTTACCAGGTGCTTCTGTTCTGCTAGAACTTACTTGGTACTTTCAGATTGACCCTCACCAGCAGGTCTCTGAAAGTTGCTGAGAGTAGGATAACACTGGCAGGGGGTTATTTGCTTGCCCCGGGCTCCTCCCGATTGAGGCCACTCAATTCTGTTGGTCTAAATGCAGTCTCACTCCTGTTCCCTTCCCTACATTGGGCTTGATGTGGTTGACGTTACTTCATTTCTGTGTTTAAACATGTCTTTCTCCAAGGCTTGTCTTCATCCACCTCCTTGTACCTATGTGCACAAGCCCCTCATTTCTGAGGCATCAGGTGTCACTGCCTGGCTGATTCCAAGCTGTCCCCAGCTCCTGGCCTAGATTGCCCTTGGCCTGCCTAGTGCTTTGCTGACTGGTCTTCTTACAACCAAATGAGGCCCACTCAACTCTCAGGCCTTCCCAGTCCCTAGCTCCCATTTCAGCTTCCCCTTTTTTCTTAACTTATGACCAAAAAAAAAAAAAGTCCTGTCAGTTCTTTCTTCATCATACCTTCCACAAAGCTTTCAGTTGTTCCTTTTCCATATTTTCTGTGACTTCCTCCCTGCTGACGGGCACCCTCTGTTTGGTCCTGAGTTCCCGGAACTGCTGTCTGATCACAATCTTCCCATCGTCTCCCACTAGATCTGGAGCCCTGTGGAGCTTGGCCTTTGGAGCTGGCATCCAGGGCTTTTTCAGACACCTGCTGCTGCCCAGCCAGACTGCTTTTCTCTCCTGATGGTCATCCCTTTTTCTTCCCTTTGTTCCTCTTGTAGCTTCCGTGGCCCCAGCTCCATGATCTCCCTGCTGTCCTCTGAGAGAACAGCCCAGGTGACTCCCTGCCTCTCACAATTGGCTGCGATACTGAGATCCCTATAAACGATCTCCATGTAAACCCTGCCATGTGGCAGCCTGTGCCCTCCCCCGTGAGTAACAAGTCATGGCACTGGCCCCTTGCATATATGTGACAGCCTTTGTGCAGGGCCTGCAGTCAAAGCCCAAAGGTGGCACTGTAACCAGGAGAGTTCCATGAAAGGTGCACGAAGACAGAGGCCTGAACAGGCTGAAGTGACTGAATGTCTAGGCAAGGCAGTGTTGAGGTGCCTCCAGGACCACGGAGAGGAGACAGGCAGTGCTGATCCCCCCGCTCCCACCCTTGCCTTCTCCATCCATCCAGTGCCACCTTGGTTAGCATCTCTATTCATGCTGTTTGGATCTTACTGCTCACTGTCACCCCTCTACTGACATGTCACCTCTATGAAGCACTTACCCAGACTCCATCACCACTTTCCCCACTCTCCTGGAACATGTCACTGCTTGGAGGTACCATATCTGCCTTCTCACCGAGCTTTTAGAGCCCTGAGAAGGCAGCGTCCCTCTGAACTTACCCCTGCTTAGTGATGAACAGTAGGCACCTTGTGGCCCAAATAGATGAATAAAACGTGCAGAGGAATGGCCAGGGTTGTCTTGGTTCTTTCCATCTTCTACCCATGTTCTCTGCCCAAGAAGCACAGTGGGACCCTGGAGAACAGGTGACAGGAGTCAGAAGAGCTGCCTTGGCCTTCTGTGGCTCTCTTCTGTGCAAAAGTTAGTCTAGACTTTGAATACAGAAGCCAGGAAAGGGAAACTTTCAGGAGGGCAGTGTAAGAGGAGGAGACAGGTTGCCCTAGAGCCCCCTGCTTCATTACTGGAGGCCTTGGGCAGAAGCTAAACTTCTGGGAGGGAGGTCTGCCTAGGCTTCACAATTGGGCTGGGTGATGGCTTCACACACCCATATCTTCCTGTGCCCTGTCTTCTCCTTGGCTCACCCTTTCTATCTGGCTGTTTAGAACTTAAGGGGGTAGGCCTGCCGTGTGGCTTAGGGTGGGTTCATCCCATCCATATAGATAGCAGCCCTTCCAGCAGTGTGTCCTAGGGCTGGGGGTGTTGGGGAGTTAAGAAACTAGCCTGGGAGGCCAGGACTTGCCAGGCTGCTTTCCCTGACCAGTGGTCAGGCCGTGTGTGCAGTGGGGCTCTTCTAGCATGTTGTCCCTGGGCACAGCCCTAGGGCCAGTGGGGGCTGACCCTGGCCTGACATCTGGGCTGCTGACACAATCATTTCATGTTTTTCCAAGCCTTCTCTGACCTGAGTGCCTGAGAATCTAGGTGGGATAGAACATGTCCAGAATCTCCAGCAAGGCATCAGGGGCCCAGCAGCCTGTTTCCCTGTGGGACTGCTGCAGGGCTGTTAAGAGTTCCACCTTTCAGGTTGTAAGCAGCTGAGCTAAAGCTGCTTGGGAATATGGGGTCAGTGGGGGTTTTCTAGCAGAGCAGGAGCTCACATAGGCTGTACAGCCAACAGCCACAAGGACCTCTGGTAGGAGAAAGGAATAGTTAGTTACCTGGATTCCTTGAGTGCCTGGCAGTGACCATTTCCCCCTGAGGGCCACTTCCTGCCCCTGGCTGGGTGCCACCTTTGTCTCCCCATTGCCTGTGATAACTTGAGGTGGCCCTCAACTGTGTTAGAGCTACCCCCAGGGTCCTGGCCTCAGGTGCTCTGGGCTCACCTTGCCTCCCCTCACCCCCAACAGCTTTGGGTGCTGCCTATGGTACAGCCAAGAGTGGCACCGGCATCGCAGCCATGTCTGTCATGCGACCAGAGCTGATCATGAAGTCCATCATCCCCGTGGTCATGGCTGGCATCATTGCCATCTACGGCCTAGTAGTGGCAGTCCTTATTGCCAATTCCTTGACTGAAAGCATCACTCTCTACAGGTGAGTGCTGGGTTCCTCTCACCACATCCACCCCCTGCCACTGCACAAGTTGGGAGGCTGGGGGAGGCGGCTGGGGAATGGACATCTGGCTAGTGACCCATTTTCACCATCTTTCCCAGCAGGCAGCTAATGTCTATTCCTGTGTCCTTTCTCCCCCAGGAGTTTCCTCCAACTGGGCGCTGGCCTGAGTGTGGGCCTGAGTGGGCTGGCAGCTGGCTTTGCCATTGGCATTGTGGGAGATGCCGGCGTGCGGGGCACTGCCCAGCAGCCCCGACTATTTGTGGGCATGATCCTGATCCTCATCTTCGCAGAGGTGCTGGGCCTCTATGGTCTCATCGTCGCCCTCATCCTCTCCACAAAGTAGCCCCTCTCCAAGCCCACCAGCCACAGAATATGATGTAAAGACCACCCTCTCCTCATTCCAGAATGAACAGCCTGACACACAGGCACGGGGAAGCTGCCCCCCACCCCCAGTAGTTGGTCTTGTAAATGCGCAGTGTCCTAGTGCCCATCGTCTGTTGCCCCCACCGCCCCGTGCTGTGGACATCTGGGCCCACTCATCACCCATCCAGGTCCCCTAACCAGTGAGGATGCTGGTTTCTGGCCACCTCCACCCCTCTACCTGCCCTAGAGTGCTCTGTATAAGGATGAATTCGAGTTGTCATTTTCACTGGATGTTTATTTATAAAGATTTGACCTGTTCGCACGTTTGTGGAGCAACCCTCCCGTCTCCCAACTATATAGTAATCTTTAGAGTGTTGCTTTGTGGGGTTACCGTGTGCCCTGAGACTTTGGATGGAATCACTGCCCTTCAGCCCTGGCTGCGGGGCAGTGTGCTGGGCCTGCCAGGCCTGGAGCCTTGTCCAATAAAATTCTTGGATGTGACTGGATGCCTGTGTGCAGCGCTTGTGTGGGCCAGGAAAGGGGCGGGGCCTGCTCGGTGCGCGATCACGTGGGCACGTCAGTCACGTGGGACAGTGCCTTAGTCAGCTGAGAGGTCACATGAGCAGGCTACCCTGCAAACTAGCTGAAGTGGTCTCCGGCAGGTTTTAGGGCCGCTCAGCTCACGCAGTTCAAGATGCGCAACGGGAAGGGCAGTGCGCGGGCACCGGTCCTCCAGTTCACCAACTGCCGTATCCTGCGGGGTCGGAGGCTGCTCAGGTGGTGTGTGGCGCCGGTGGGTGCGGGGCCCGGCACTGCTGGGGTGGGCCTGGCGGGCGCAGGGCCCAGTAATGTTCTGTTGGGGGCGGGGTGCTGGGTCACCGTTCCGAGCCCCGGCCCCTCTCTGTTCGCAGGGAGGATTTGTGGGTGCGGGAGGGCCACATTGTGGACCCAGAGAAGCTGTTCTTTGAGGAGCGGCTCGTGGCCGACCAGCAGCGGGACTGCGGAGGCTGCATTCTGGCGCCTGGCTTCATCGACGTGCAGATCAATGGTGGGGTCCAGGGCCCGGTGGTGGAGACCCAGGGGAGGGGCTCGGAGCACTGTGCCACCTCCTCTTTTCTGTGGCCACAGGTGGATTTGGCGTTGACTTCTCTCAGGCCACAGAGGACGTGGGTTCGGGAGTAGCTCTGGTGGCCCAGAGGATCCTATCACATGGAGTCACCTCTTTCTGTCCCACCTTAGTCACCTCACCACCTGAGGTTTATCACAAGGTAAGGTCAGGCTCCAGACCTCAGGCAAAGGGGGCCTGAGAGGTAGCTAAGTCTTTAACTTAAATATCTCTTCTCTCCCTACAAATGCCTCCTAGCACTTGGATTTGACCTTAACCTGCTGGCCCTCCTCTACCTGGTCCTGGGGTCCTGTCCCCTGGTCATTCTCAAATTCAGGTGTCCCTCTGCCTGCCTCTCTGGACCCCTACCCCTAATACCTCCTCCCTCATTTCCTCTCTGACTGTCCCCTTTGGCCTGCACATTGGCTGCCTCAGCACCTTCATCTCTCTCTCCTATCCTGCATTCTGGCTCCCTCCAGGCTCCAGAAACTGCCTGCTGGACGGAGGCCGCTGGGGACTTCCCCACATCCTTAGCTGCTTCTCGGGCTTTTGTCCGCATAGTGTGCCTGTGCTATGTGGTAAACACACTTTCCAGGGAGAAGCTCCAGGTGTAACCCAGGCTTCCTGTGCTGCTCTTGCCTACACCCTACAGGCTCCCACTTACCCCACACTCTCCCACTTTCTGACCTTTTCCAATATTCAGGTGAGAAGGGGAGGGAGGGAGAAAGAAACATTGTGCAAGAGAAACATCAATTGGTTGCCTCTCCCATGCCCCCAGCTGGGGACCTGGCCCACAACCCTGGCATGTGCCCCAACTGGGAATCGAACCTGCAACCTTTTTGGTTTGTAAAATGGCACTCAATCCACTGAGCCACACCAGCCAGGGCTAAGAAATTTCACTTTTTATGCAGGGTCTTCACTTTACTCTTTGATGCGTTCTATTGGGTCTCATTTTCTGTGTCTGTGTGCATGTTCTTTTTTTCCAGAGGTGTTTGAGAGTAGGTTGTGTATGTGTATTTCATGCCTTCTTACCTCTTAAAACTTAACTGTTACTTAAAAATGTGGGTATTCTATTGTGTGAGCACAGTAGGCATATTGAGTTTAGAAAATTAACAGTTATCCTTTAAACTACCATATTTGTTCCAGTTTTGTAGTTTTTTTGTTTTGTTGTTTTCCTTTCTAGTATAGGATCCATTCCAGGGTCACTGATTGCATTGCCCTCGTGGGGTTTCCTCCTGGGTGTGTAGACGCCCAGAGACAGGAGCTGTGGGAGGTGGTTGTGGTCTCCTGGCTTCATCATCTGTCAGCTGGGAGACTGGGGGTATCCCTGCCCTTCTGAGTCTCGGTTTCCTCAAACCTAAAGTGAGAATAATGATGGTATTCATCTTTTAGGGTTGTTGGGCAGTCAGCACTGTGCTTTGTACTATGTTAAGCACTTAGCAAATGTCAGCTGTAGACATCTTTCTGGAAACTTCTCCCAGCTCTCCTATCACAGAGTCAAATGCTAAAAATCAAACTCATTTGCCTGCTGCAAACTGGCACCTGGTTCTGTGTTACCTCTCCTGGTCATCATTCCTTGATTTACCGTACATGGAATCCTGGACCATGCCTGCCCTCTTGCCCGTTTGTTCTTTGTCCTCCCCTTTCCCAGTCTCCACCAGTGAGGCTTAGTAACTGTTCCGCTAATCTGAAGAGTGGCCTTCCCAGGATATAGGGCTCAGCACATTCACTCACACTCCTCTATCACCCTTATCTGCAAGATAAACACCATCCTCCCAAACATTCCCTCCCTACCTGCAAAGCCTACAAATGTCCCTTCCAAGGGACAGCCCTTTGCTCCTTCCCTAGGCATATTCCAGCCATGTGAGGCATTTGCTCACCTGCACCCCATCTCTCTGCTTGGAAGGCCTTGCTTGCCCATCTGCCCCCCGCAAGCACATCTGCCCATCGTGATGCAGACTGTGAGGTTTTTTTCCTTAGGGAAGGACAGTAGGACTTTTGTCTTACATTCTCTCCCTTGCACTCACCATCCTCCTTAATTACAGGTTAAAGACCTTGGAAGCAGAGAGTAAACTGACTTACAGTGGAAATCACGGAGGGCTTTGAATATGAAAAATAAAATTCAGGTATCATCTTAGAAACTACAGGACTGTTCACTTCGATATCTCCCCTGCCCTTAACTCCCATCCATCCCACCTTCCTGGAGGGCCCATGCACACTGAGCAGAACTGCCACTTTATCAGAGTTACCCAGGTTCTTTGTCGTCGTGTTCTGGTCCACGGAGACTACCTGCTCCCTTTCTGTGGCCTCCCTCTCCATCCTCGCCCTTTGTTACCCTTTTAGGAGGAAGATTCCCTTGCACTGTTCTCTGCTTGAGGGCCATTTCTGCAGAGACAAGATCATGCACCCTCTGTAGTTTGACCTTTCGCACTGCTTTCTTCCCTTGCAGGCCCCTCATTCCCTTCAGCTCCAGGCTGCCCTTGATACTCTGTTCCCTCTGCTTAGTGCTCTCAGTTTCCCTTGTAAAACCCACTCATTATCTTTTCCTCAATCTTTAGTGAATTTATATATGTCACATGGCTCATTGGGGAAAATAGCAGCCCTTTGTACCTTCCAAGGGACAGTCACTTTGAACTCAGTTGACCCTTTGGAATTTGCCCTTCTATTTAAAAAAAAAAAACCTATGCTGGTACTTCTGCTTGACTTTCCAGTTTATGGCAGTATACATTTACTTCCTTCCCACCGTGAAAGATAAGGATTGGTTCTCTTTGGCCCCTCGAGCCCTCTCTTGTGCTCTTCCAACACCACATCCTTCCCAAACAGCTTATTGTAATTTCGGTTAGTTTAACCGTCGGGACTGTGTAAAGGGATTGTAGCTCATTTAACTTTCCTTACTTGTAAACTCTTGTTTTCCTTGGAATTACTCCTCTGTTTACATAGGGTTGGTTTGTTTGTTTGTTTTAATCGACTAACTCAGTTCCAGGTTTTGTGTCTGTTGTTTCTTTCTCTTTTCGGAATATTTAGCCCACGGTTCCATTTGTTTTATCTTTCCGTGGAAGCCTTTGGGACCTACTCTGCCCAGCACTGGCTGCTGGTCTCACTGGGATGAGTTGTCCTGGGAGTCCCCTTCCTCTCACCTGGTTGGGGGGGTCCTTTGGCCTCTTTCTGCTGGATCTTTCCAGTATCCTGTGTCTTCCTCTTTGCTGGTTTATACCTTTGTTTGGTGGAGCATATCCTCCAGTGACTTTTGGAGAAAAGGGGGTTGCGACATGTAAGGGTTCTGAGATCTCAGGGGTCTGAAAATGTCTTTATCCTCTTGATTGATGTTTTGGCTATGTTAGAATCCCGAATGAATAGCCATTCTCTAGAATTTTATGTATTTATTTTTAATTATATTTTATTGATTATGCTGTTACAGTTGTCCTGATTTTTCTCCCTCTGCCCCCCTCCACCAAGCACCCCCCACTCCCTCAGGCAATCCCCACACCGTTGTTCATGTCCTTGGGTTGTGTGTGTATGTGCTTTGGCTACTGTTTCTTGTACTGTACTTTGTATCCCGTGGCTATTCTGTAACTGCCTACTTGTACTTCTTAATGCCCTCACCTCTCACCCATTCTCCCACACCCACCCTTCAATCTCTTTAACCTTTGGCATTTTAATTATAATGTGTTTTGGGATGGGCCTCTTTGCATCCGTCTTGTTTGGGACTCTCTGCTTCCTAGACTTGCATGTCTATTTCCTTCACTAAATTAGGAAAGCTTTCTTTCATTATTTTTTCAAATAGATTTCTGATATCTTGGTCTTTCTCTTCTTCTGTCACCCATCTGAAGTGAATGTTGGATTGTTCAAAGTTGTCCCAGAATCCTGGTTTTTTGCTTTTTGGAATTTTTTAAAAAGATTTTATTTATTTATTTTTAGAGAGGGGAAGGGAAGGAGAAAAGAGAACGAGAGAGAAACGTCAATGTGGGGTTGCCTCTCACCGTGGCCTCCACTGGGTACCTGGCCCGCAACCCAGGCATGTGCCCTGGCTGGGTACTGAACCAGCGACCCTTTGGTTCACAGGCCAGCACTCAATCCACTGAGCCACGCTAGCCAGGCTACCTTTGTCTTTTTGTGTTCTCTTTTCCTGTTGTTCTGATCGGGTGTTTTTGCTTCCTGATATTCTAAATCATTGATTCTTGGCTTCGTCTGCTCTACTGTTGTTCCCCTGTAAATTGTTTTATATTTCAGTTAGTGTGTTCCTCGTTTCTAACTGGATCTTTTATGTTGCATAGGTCCTCCCTAAGTTCCTTGAGCATCCTTATAACCATTGTTTTAAACTCTGCATCTGATAGATTGCTTATCTCCATTTTGTTTAGCACTTTTTCTGGAGTTTGGATCTGTTTTTTCATTTGGGCCATGTTTCTTTGTTTCCTCGTTTTGGCAGCCTCTCTGTGTTTGTTTCTATGTATGAGGCAGAGCTGCTTTGACTCCCCATCTTTGTAATGTGGCCTAGTGTAGCGGGTGTCTTGTAGAGTCCAGTAGCACAGCTTCCCCTGTCATCCAAGCGGCATACCTCGAGGTGCACTGTTCATATGGGCTGAGTACACCTCCCTCTTGTAGTTGAGCCTTGGTTGCTGTTGGCAGATCAGTGGGAGGGATTTATGAGGCTAGTTAGCTGCAGGGAGTGGCTGTGACCATTGACCATCAACCTCTACCCTTTGTGGAGGATCAGCTGTGCAGGGGTTGGGTGGAGGTCTGCAGCTGTGCACTGGGTGTGCTGGCCCTGGGGTTTCCTGGGAGGTGTGCACTAAGATCAGCCCCCACCTGTGTTTGCCCTGGGCCACCCTGCCTGAGTTGTAAAGCAATCTGAGAGGCTGCTTGTGGTGCCGGCCTTGGAGGTTTCCAGGCAAAGCCAAATTGTGAATCTAGGTTGCCAGTTCCAGGCCTTGAGCTCACTGAGGCCAGCTGCTGCCTGTTTGAGAGGATTTAGGAAGTTGTGAAAAATGAGGCAAGACCATTCATGTGGAAAAGCAGCTTGGGTGGGCGTGTAAGTTGGGTAGGGTGGAGTCTCTGGGGATCTCCAAGGCTGGTCAAACGGTGTTAGCCAGGTTGATGGAATCTTGGCTGCGGCACCAGTCTGCCAGCTCTGTGGGGTGGCGGGGGCTCAGAAAAGGGACAGTGGTCTCTGCTCACCTTGATGCCAGACATATCAGCCTCCTCCTACACACCACTAGTGCCCCTTGAGCTGCCACCCTGTCACCGGAGCCCAGAGGGAGTGAGTCTGAGTAGGTGAGTCTGTGGGTTCCAAGAGGAACTGTTTGGGGTTCCAGCAGTTTCTTCCACAGACTCAGTCCCTACTGGTTTTTGCAGCCAGGAGTTGTGGGGACTTATCTTCCTGGCATTGGAACCCTGGGCTGGGGGACCTGGTATGGGGCTGGGACTCCTTGCTCCTGAGATCCCCCTCCCAAATTTGTAGCCACCACACGTGGGTGTGGGCCATTCCACATCTGCACCCCTCCTGCCACCTGGATGGATGTGGCTTAATTCTGTACTTGTCAGTCTTCCATTCAACTAGGTTTTTGTCATTGTTGAGCAATGGCGGTTCTATATTTTGGTTGTAATTTTGTTATGGTTGTGCAAAGAGGCGAGGCATGTCTGTCTACGCTGCCATCTTGACTGGAAGTCCTCTAGAATTTTGAAGGCATTGCTATATTGTCTTTTGACTTCCAGAGTTGCCGGTGAGAAGTTGGAAGCCATCTGACCCCTGATCCTTTGTACGTGACCTGTTTCTTCCCTCTGCGAGCTTGCGGGGTCTTCCTTTCGTCACTGGGTTCTAAAGTCTCAGGGTGACACGCTGGGGACTGGGGGCAGTTCATCTGCTACGCTAGGCTTCAGCAGTCCCTTCTAGCCCCCCATCCTCCCCAAATTCAGAGTTTCAATCTAGAAGTTTGAGGGGTTTTTTGTTTTTCTTGAATTATTTCTTTGATGATTTTTCTCCCTCATTTCTCTGTCTTTTGCTTCTGGGAGTTACTGTCCTATTGGGCCTCCCGGACAGCTTCTCTCTCTTCTCTCTCTCTCCCTTGTTGACACTGTTTTCTGGACATTTTCTTAGCTTTTTTTTTTTTAAGTATATTTTTAAAGATTTTTATTTATCTTTAGAGGGGAAGGGAAGGAGAGAGGGAGAGAAACATCAATGTATGGTTGCCTTTCATGCATCCCCTGCTGGGAACCGCCTGCAACCCCGGCATGTGCCCTGACTGGGAATCAAACCACGATTGTCTGGTTCGCAGGCTCGCGCTCAATCCACTGAGCTACACCAGCTAGGGCTATTTTCTTAGCTTTTTTAATCTTCTATTTCTTCTCTCTCTTTCTTTTTTTTTTTTTGCTTCAGTGCAAATTTTTGTTAACCTAAAAATAAGAAGGCATTTTAAGGTGAGAGGCAACCAAGGATTTGAGATTTTAAAAAATAGTTTTTGGAAAGCATTGATTGAGGGGAAGTCCAGATACTGTTCTGATTTGGAGACAAAGGCAATGGGTATTTATGAGAAGGAAAAGGAGAACAATTATATCAATAGAAGGAAGGCATTTTTGTTGGTGTGGATAATATAATCATAAGTGATATTTTTAGCTTTCAGTTCAGTAGTCGTAATAATTTCTTATCTTCACAAACAGTTTTTTGCAGCACAGTGTTGTTCAAGCCCAGTCCAGAGGTTGCTTCGCCTGGTTTTTACGACGTGAGGTAGAAGGTGTGCACGGCGGCCCCTGCGGCCCTGCGGCCCGGCAGCTCCGCCTCCGTCTGACAGAGCCTCCGTTCATTTGGGGGGCACTTGCGTGTGGAAGTGCGTGCTTTTCCCCAGGAACGGTCCTTTTTTCTAACGTCCCATTCTTGTTCCGAGGGTGTGAAACCTCTTCTCACAAGCCCTCCCCTCCTTGGGTGTCTGCTCTGCAGTCAGGTGTATCCTGTCATTTGTTCATTTGTTCTGCTTTCTGTGCGTCCTTTCAGAGGCTTGCCCACGCTGCTGGGGGGGCCTCGGTTACCTGCTCTAATGAAGAGCGGTCTCAGCCACCAGGAGCACCCAGCCTGGGGAGGTTCCGCACAGCACCCTTGGGGTGAGATCCCTAAGTCCTTTCTCTTGGGCTGATCGAATCCCCAGAGAAGAGTTTTCTTGTTCTGCTCAGAGGGAACAGTCCTGATTGGTGACATTCCAGGAGCATTAAAAATACAAACTTCATTTAATTGCCCCATTATCCACTTCTCCCCACCTGTCTGGTTTACTTCTCTAGACACTTGGCGGGGCGAACTTGGGAATTCAGCTGCTCTTCAGTGAGGCTCCTGCTGTTGGTCCCCCCACTTCTCCAAGCACCAGGTGCTGCCAAGGCCTGAACCCATGGGGGCCGTGGGCCTTGTTTCCTACCTGCCCCCACTGTGTTGCCCACATCTGCCCAGTTGCTACTTGCCCGACTCCTGAGTCATCCTGCCCTCCTTGTCTTCTCTGTCACACTGGGTTTGAGCCGCTTACTTCTCTGTACTTTGTCCCAGGCTCACTCCGCAGTATCCTCTGGGCTCCTGCTTGGATGCTTGCCTGCCTGCCTGCCTCCAAGATACTGCGTTGTGTGAACACTTGTCACACAGTCGACTCTCCCGACTGTGTTCAGCTCCAGGCACAGCGTGGCTATACCATTGATGCCTGAGCCCCTGCTTCGCCCCCTCACTCTGTCTGGATTGCATGTACTCCTGCCTCCGGCTATTGGGGAGGCCAGGCCCATCACCCAGTCTGGGTCCAGTCCCTCAGGGCATGCACTTCACTGTGTTCCAGCTGCTGCTAGGACTGGGGTCATCTTGAGAGCCAGGACAGGTAGAGCTGGTCCTAGCCTGCTGCCTGGGGACTCTCCTGGTCTTACTCCTGGACACAGGCAGGCTGGTCTTACATCCCAAGGCCTGTCAATTCTTGGTGCTCCTGACCTTGTATGCTGCTTGTTCTGAGTACCGTTACCATGCTTTCCCTGACCATTGGGAGCCTTTGACCGTCTTCTGATAACTAGTGGAAGGCCAGCAGGCACTGGGCTGGGCTCTGAACTCTGACTTTGGCTGGGCTGTAACCTCTGGGTGCTGGGCCATGGGAGGCAGGGCTTTTAACAGCTGGTTCCCCCCAGGTCCTTCCTCAGATCCCTGTGAAGAGTGGTGGTCCCCATGGGGCAGGGGTCCTCGGTGAGTGGCTGACCCCTCTCCCTGACCCTACCCTGGAATGTTCCTTGGGGACCTGTTGGCAGCCTTATACCTCCAGCTGCCCAAATGGGGCGGTAGGGTGGGCAGATGAGAGGGGCCAAAGCAGGGACTAGAGGGTGGGAGGCCTGCTGGAGCCATCTGCTCCCCTTTTCTCAGGGGTGCATCTGGAGGGCCCATTTATCAGCCATGAGAAGCGGGGTGCACACCCTGAGGCACACCTGCGCTCTTATGAGGCTAATGCCTTCCATGATGTTCTGGCCACCTACGGGTCCCTGGACAACGTTCGAATCGTGACGCTGGCTCCTGAGCTCGGCCGCAGCCATGAGGTGATCCAGGCACTGACAGCCCGTGGCATCTGTGTGTCCCTAGGTGAGGGGGAGTGTCCCCACTGGAGGGGGCAGGCCCACCGGAGGGGCCTGGGCTGGTGGCAGAATCTGATTCAAGGCCCCTGTGCAGGGCACTCAGTGGCCAACCTGAGGGTTGCAGAGGAAGCTGTGCAGAGCGGTGCCACCTTCATCACCCATCTCTTCAATGCCATGCTGCCTGTGAGTGCTGCCCAGCCCCCGGGCGGGTAGAATCTGAGGCTCCTGCTGTGGCTCAGCATTCTCTCTCCTGACCCTGCCCAGTTCCACCACCGTGACCCGGGTATTGTGGGGCTCCTGACCAGTGACCGGCTGCCTCCAGGTCGCCACATCTTCTACGGGATGATCTCCGATGGCATGCACACCAACCCTGCTGCCCTGCGCATTGCCCACCGGGCCCATCCCCAGGGTGAGCGGCCGGGCAGGGTGGTGGCAAGTAGGAATACCAGGTGAGGCAGGTTCTGAGGCCTCTTCTTCCCCAGGGATGGTGCTGGTCACTGATGCTGTCCCTGCCCTGGGCTTGGGCAACGGCCGTCACACGCTGGGGCAGCAGGAGGTAGAGGTAGATGGGCTGACGGCCTATGTGGCAGGTGAGCGACCCTTGTCCCCACTGGCTGCCCACATTAGAAGAGCCCCTCAGCCCCTTTGGTGGGATACAAGAGCCTAGGTGACCCCTGGCAACCCACACCCCATCCAGTGTGCCTGGTGGCCCCCCATTCCCCTCCCCTCCCCTCCCCCCAGAGCCTGTCCTCTCTGCTCTCAAGGCACGAAGACACTGAGCGGCAGCATAGCTCCGATGGACGTCTGTGTTCGGCATTTCCTGCAGGCCACAGGTCAGCAAGCTGCTGTGTGTGCGTGTTGGGAGTGGAGGCTGCATCTGAGAGAGGCTGGAGGGGACCGTGGGGACCACTAGGGTCCCCACATCCCTAGTCCGTCATGTCTAGTGGGGTTCCTTGGGGATGGGCACTGGGAATGCAGCCAAGGACCCACCCGTGGGGAGTTTACAGGCGAGGGGAGAGAAGGACAAGCAAGCCAAATGGCTGGAACTTGGGGTGACAGGCACCCAAACCATGGCATCTAAGGGAAGGGTCTTGGCCTGGGACCTATGGGATTGCAAGACTTGGCAGGTGTGCGGAGCCGTGGGGAAGTGAAGGGGACCAAAGCTGCCATTAAGCCTCCAGGGTTGAGCTATGTGGCGGCCTCTCAGGGGGGATTGTCTGTTCCAGGGAAGGCGGGCAGAGGGCATCTAGCAGAGGCCGTGGTTGGCCAAGCCCAGTGGGATGCTCGGCAGCACCCAGGGTGGGGTGGTTATGCTGGGGGCTGAGGGTCACCGAGATCTAAGTAAGGTTCTGTTTAGAGCAGCAAGGAGACAGGCTGGGAGGCAAGAGACAGCTGTGGTCTGGCCTGGGGGGGAAGGATACAGAGATGGAGAAAATTGGGTTTATTTTATTTCTTGGTGGAGGGTAAGGGCAGAGCATCCAGTCCCAAGTGGCTTCACGGATGCCCAGTCTACTACTTTGTTGTGGGGTGCTCCCCCTGGGACTCAGGTGGAGGAGGGTCCATACTGTTCCCACAGTATGCTCCCACGAGCATTTGGGTCCATACTGTTCCTGCAGGGCTGGGTGGGTGAGTGGCTGGGAACAATGGGACTGGGGGACCTTGTCAACCTGCTGCAGAGGCCTACGGACTGTAGGACTTGGAGCTCCTGTGCTGTGGGGATGGGGGAAGGGGGAACCTACAGGGCCAGGTGGGGATTGAGGATGGTCACCCACTGTGTTTTCTGAGCAGGCTGCAGTGTGGAGTCCGCCCTGGAGGCTGCGTCCCTGCACCCTGCCCAGCTGCTAGGACTGGAGAAGCACAAGGGAACCCTGGACTTCGGGGCTGATGCAGGTTAGAGCCCTATGTGGAGCAGCCTGGGCAGCCAGAAGACTCAGGAGTCCTTGGGAGGCCTGGGACAGGAACAGGGAGGGCAGAAGAGTGAGACCTTCCCGATGTCCAGGCAGCCTTACCTGGACACCAGCCTCGGTCTGGCCCCACTTTCCCATCAGACCAGGCTTCCTGGCATTTGAGACAAAGTCAGACAAGGCACTCCGGGACCTTTAACTCTTGTTCCCCTGCTGCCAGGAATCTTGGCTCCAGGCCCTCAGTCTGTGCTGGCTCAGGGTGTCCTACACAAGTTGTGTCCCGGGCCTTGGTTTCCTTTCAGCCTCGGGCTCGGGATAGTGGGGGCAGCCCCACCCCTGCCTTCTTCTCACAGTGTGTCTCTGACCCAGACTTTGTGATGCTCGACGACTCCCTCCACGTCTGGGCCACCTACATCTCGGGCGAGTTGGTGTGGCAGGCAGAGGAGGCCCGGCAGTAGGCAAGGACTACAGCTGGAAAGGACACTCAGCCCCATCTGGACACTGTCAGTGCTGGGCCATCTGGGAGCTGGTCTCTGGGGAGTGAGTAGGAGCCCTGCCTCAGGTGGATGACCTTGGCTCTGGAGGCAGCTGGCTTGGATAAACCGTGTACCCCACAGGACCCGCCTGGTCTCCGAGTTTTGCTTCAAAGTGGGCTTCTTGCTGTTTCCACTGTCACCCTGATGGTCCTCCTGGGGGGTGGGGGTGTTTTTTGGCTTAGGGTTGGGAGTGGCTGGACTCTGGCTCAGCTCGGCCCTGTGAGGAGGCTTTGTGGGGTCCATGAAAGTGATGGCAGGGCCCCTTTCTGTTACAAGGTTGTGTCTGAGGTCTGCAGACCTTCAGGCAGATGTGTATTTGGAAATGAATGAACACCAGAGCAGGGAAGCCACGGGTGATAGATTGGAAAGCTGAAAGCTGGCGGGAACGGGCTTGGGGACAGTGAATATAGACAACTTCAGAAGTTTGCTTATTGTGTGGGCTGAAGGGAAAGATCCATCTTGGAATTTTAAACCGGGAAATACTGATCGTGGAGACAAATTGAGATGGGCAGGGAATGGTCTCAGGTGGGCACTGCAGAGGTTTGGGAGCCCAGGTGTATGTGAGGGGTCCTGTGGTCTCGCTCTTTACACCAGAGTTGTGTAGCGCCTGGGCACACCGCCCAGCAACTGCTCCCCTGCCTTCAGAGGAATCCTCGCTGGCCCTGGGACCCCAGGCTGCTCAGCTGGGTGCAGAGGGCATGGTTGAAGGGCGCCTGAGCTGGCTGTGGCCGCTGCTCCATTTCCTGCCCAGCCCCACTCCACCTTCATGAGCCCTCAAGTTACTCAGGCTCCAGTTCTTCTGGCGTCTTTTTTGAACAACTCCGTCTCCTGATCCCGCTCCCAGGAGGGTGTGATGAGCCATCCCGCGCTCTGGTGTTTCCCCAGCTGTGGGCGAGCCTGTCCGGTGTTGGTGGGCCGTTCTGCTCACCAGTGTCTGTGCCCTCGCAGCTGGAGCCCACCTCTGAGTCTTGGCCCTGGCAGAGGTCCCCGAGAGAGGGCAGGTGAGAAGGTGAGCAGTGGTTGTCAGCTTCGTGGCGCCAGGCCTTGTCCTAGTGATTTGTGGGTTATTCACTTGCTCCATTTCCTGCCAGGAATCCCGAGGGGTGTCCTGTTTGTTGTCCAGGGCACTGAGTCCCAGAGCAGGGGAGCATCAGGGCCAGCATTTGGCCTGGACAACCCCGGGAGTCTCCCTTAGACCTGTCACTAAGGCCTGTCTGGGTGGAGAATCATGGAAGGACTGGTTGGGACTGGTTGAGATGGTGGCCAGCCAGGTGACACCAGAGATGACAGGAGCCAGTTCTGACTGGGAAGAAAGAGCACTTCAGGCAAAGGGAACTGCCCTACAAAGGCCACTGACACACAGGCTTAATGCGTTGGAGGAGAACTGATGGCCACTGGGGCTGGAGAGTGGTCTAGGGATGGGGACTGGAGCTGGGCCCTGCAGTTGCTGTGGGGGTAGTTCAGAAGTGGGCAGTCGCTGGAGGGTCCTTTTTTTTTTTTCCATTTTTATTTTACTTCTTTTTTAAAGATTTTATTTATGTTTAAAGAGAGGGGAGGGGAGGGAGAAAGGAAGAGACATGTCAGTGTGTGGTTGCCTCTTGTGCGCCCCCTACAGGGGGCCTGGCCTGCAACCCAGGCATGTGCCCTGACTGGGAATCAAACTGGTGACCCTTTGCTTTGCAGACTGGCACTCAACCCACTGAGCCACGCCAGCCGAGGCTCATTTTTATTTTTCAAGTTGTGGTGAAATACACACAACAGCAACCATCTTGAGCATTTTTCTTGAGTGTACCAGCTGTTGGTGTCAGGCCACATGTACACCGTTGTGCAATCGTCACCACCATTTCCAGAGCGTTTTCATCACCCCAGACGGAAATTGCACCCATTGAATACTAAACCCAGATTCCCCCTCCACCAGCCCTCACACCAGCCTGTCCACTTTGGTTTTGAGTCTGAGGCTGCCACTTTATGCCTTCGAGTTGCTAGGGGATGTGGTGCTGGGGGTGGCAAGGAGGCCCTGAGGGGCTGGCTGTGAGGTGGCAGAGGGACCAGAGACAAGTGAATGGGAGGACAAGCTTGCCCTAGTGTGGGTGTGAACCAGGTGGGCAGAGGCGGTGATGCTAGGGTTGTCCCTGACTCAGTGGTGAGTCAGGGCGACTCACCGAGAGGCTGGGATGGGGCCCCTGGGGAGGTGACTGGTGCGTCCCCAGCATCTCCCCGGCTTGTTTAACGTGTCCGAATGGGAAGACTCCAGGGCTGACTTTTGGTCATAGCAAGGGCCTCCTGACTGCCAAGTTTGGGAGCCCAGTGGCTTTCACTTTGCACATGTAGACTCTGCCAACCACATGGGGTCCCTGATGCTGGAAGGATCCCTTTTGAAGCCTCCGGCTCCACATCAGGACGACAAAGACATCACAGGGGAAGGTGCACTAAGGGCTGGAGGCTGACTGACAGGGAAGGCATTTAGCAGTGGGGGGTTGGACAGCAGCAGCCACATCCCGGAATTGGGCCTGGGTCTGAGCAACAGGGCTTTTATAGTGAATCTGTGGTAGGCAGTTAAATAGTATGAGCAGAGTAGGAAAGGTAGCCAGGTGCCACCAGGGCTGAGAGCCCCAGGTGCTTAGCAGTGGGGCAAAACTGTAAGTTCTTTCATTACCCTCCCTTAAGCAATAGCCCCTGGAGATGATGGCCAGGCCTTAGCTGGGTTTCAGCTCCACACCCAGAGAAGCGAGCTGCAATGACTAATGACCCTCTGCCCTGGTGCTAACCAATCAGTGATCACAACCCTGAGGAGCTACAGCTGGAAAGCAGGTGAATAATCTGAGTTCCACTCCTGAGACCTCCTTATAAAAGTCCTCAGTACTGAGGACCCATAGCAGTGTCATGGAGCACCCCTGAGCCTTCCCTGTCCCCTTGCCCCCACGCATGTTTTCCTCGCCTCTTTCTTCTAAGCTCCAAGGGCCCTTATTTTGCCTCTGTAATTTGTATCCTGAGCTCATTTCTTCTATGGCTCACTTCTACCTCTGTGATTTTTTTCTAAATAAACTTTCCCTGAGACTAAGAGTCTTCTCTCAATTTTTTCTTAGCCAGAACTCTAGTACAAGGATGCCAAACCCAGAACCAGTCTGACTGCAGTAGTCTAACACTTTCTGTCGTTTTGCACCGACACAGATACAGTTGGCTCTGCTGTGCCCTGGGCCGGGGGCACCCAGAGGCACTAGATCAGTGTGGAACCTCAGATCCAAGATGGGGTACAGCACGCCGGGAAGAAACTCCTTTGTGAGGGGTGGGCCCTGTGGGACCAGTTAGGATCCCCAAAGGGAGGCATGTGCCATGTCAAAGCAGCAGGGACACCCATCGTCCTCTGAACCAGTGAAAGAGTGGCCTGGCAGCCAGGAAGGTGCCTGGGAGCCTGAGGCCCAACACCCCTCACCACCCGCTGCAGACCACACGTGGCCTCAACCTGCGGGCCTCCCGCCCCGGCACTGCTTCTGGGGCCGCATCATGCTCGCCCTTCCATTGCTCCTGGCTACCTCATTTCAGGACCTCCAGACAACCCAAACCTACCTGTCCTCCACACTAACTCAGGGCGCCAAAGCTCTCCACCATTAACAGCTGGCACAGTTGCAATGTGATTGTGCACTTTTTTCACGTTTCCGTTTGGATTTGTTTTATAAACTGGCATTGCACTTTATATAGTACTCTGCCATTTACTATTCTTTTAGTTAAACAACATGACGTGGAGCGCTCCCCTGGGGGAATACAGGAATCTCTCTCACAATTTTAACAAGATAGCCAGTGTTCTCCAAACCGGAGGTTCCCTAACTTAACAACCAACCAGCATATCCCAACATGGACAATTCCATCTCTTCTCACCCCCACACTAGCTGCTCCTGATTCCTGACTCAGAAAACATTAGGTAATGGTGCTTTATACCTTTAGGTTTTGGGGTAACTTGATCCACATACGCTGTCTCTTGCCAGGACTGAGGATTGGACTGTCCTGGCTTGGGCTTTGCACACTGGTTGCCATTCAGGCCCCACAAGAATTGAGAACTGTCCTTTCCTTCCCCTCTCGGCTGCCACTCCCTGCCCTGCTCCTGCTCTCTGCTCAGTCACCTTTCTCAGGACCACCCCACCCCTTCCCTGAGGAGCGAGCCCTGAGGAGCGTGCCCCACTTGGCTCTAGTGTTCACTGTGTTCTTTCTCCCCTTCATCTACTCTGAGTTACTCAAGAACTGCATGGACGCTTTGGTGTGACAGGCTCTGATTTAAAAAAGTTAAAAGACTCCAGTTCATATACTGCAGCTTGTTGCTTTCCCTTCAGAGCTTCGCCCTGTTCTTTTCAGGAACTACATAGAATTTTCCAGCCTGGATGTATCAACACTTATCATTCTCCTGTTGATAAAAATTTTGGACGTTTCTTCACTTTTTATGTCACATTAAAGCCATGCCATTGCAAATATCCACGCACAGCTTTATATTCATGATTGAGAGCTTCTTAGAATTTCCATAAAGAAGACAGGCTCATTTTATTAATTTTTAAAGTATGGAATGCTTCACCAATGTGCCTGTCATCCTTGCACAGGCGCCATGCTAATCATCTTTGTATCATTTCCATTTTAGTGCATGTGCTGCCAAAGCAAGCACCCATTTTATTACTTTTTATTTCCATCAATGTTACAGAGGCCAAGAGTTCTAAAAAGGCTTGTAATGAGAAACAGCAGCCCTGCCCCAGTCTCCATACTCATATTCTACTTACTACAAGTTTGAATGTTCTTCCTGTGGTTTATGTCCAACTTCCTAAATAATTTCTTATTACTTTAAATTGAGAGACTTGAGTATTGATTCATCACTTATAGTCATTATCTATTGCCTTTCTGGCAAAAGGGGTGAGGAGTCAACTGACTCCTACTTTCCTTCATCTCCAGGTCCTACGAAGGTGGAGTGTGATAATTACTGGTTGAATCAGTGCATCTGTACTATGAGTAAGTATCTCTGACAGCTGAGATGGGTTGAGATGCCTAGGAAACTGTGTTTACACTTGTTCTCCAGTATGGCTGTTTTTCTGAGTTTTTCCTCATCTCGCTGCAACCCAGGCATGTGGCCTCCCTGGGAATTGAACGAGAGACCTTGCCGGTCAGGGCACACACAGGAATCAACCAAGGAAGGCATCAGTGGGTGCTTCTCCCTCTTCTCTCCACTCTCTCTCTAAAACCAGTCAGTAAGTTAATTTAAAAACCTTTACGTGGTGAAACCCACTAGAGAATCTATCATTTTCAGTATTTTTCTGAAGCCCTTGGTGTGCGCGTTCCCCATTCTTACCTGGGATTTCTCCTCACTATCCGTGTAAAATTGTACCGACTCCCTGCGCACGCCTCAGTCCTCCTTTCACTGATTTTTCTTTCTTTCCCACAGCGCTTACTACCTTCTAACATCCTGTAAGATTTGTTTATTTCTTAATGCTTGCTGTCTCCATCCCCACCGCGAACCACAAGCCAGTGGTATTGGAGTCCCACGGGGGCAGAGATTTTTGTGTTTTGTCACCAACGAATAGCCGATATCTATCACAGTGCTTGTCATGGTGGGGACGCTCAGCATGTATTTGCAAAACAGAGAAAACCCAGGACTCCCATCATCATCCTCCTGTGTGTTCTTTCTCCTTCCTTCTTCCTGTATCTCATGCCTTCTTTCTTGGCTTGCTGGATCATTTAGACATCCTTCAGTATGTTTCTGAGCAAAGCTGCTTATGAGATACATATTCCCCAGTAGGGGTTATTGATGTAGCTTAATGTGCCCAATGTTCCCAAATGTTGGGCGTGGCCTGGTATGGTGGCAAGAGCTGGCATCTACCTTGACCTTGTCTTTGTGTCTACTGAGAGTGAGAGCATCTGGAGAGGGGCTGGCAGTGGGCGATTAGCAGCATGTATCTATCAAAAGTCCTGAGAGGAATGCCTGCGCTTTCACCCAGCAGTTTCATCTGCTAAGAAGTTATAGTAAGGAAATAAGTAAGGGTCTGCCTGGATTTAAGTGCAAGGCTTTGTTCATTGGGGAAGAGGCTGGGAACCACTTCACTGTAAGGTAGGATGGAGCTTTATCAATACATGGATCTGTAAGCTTTGGGCTTCTTCCAGTAGAGTTCTCCCGGATGATGCATTGTTAACTGAAAAGGTGAGTATCAAAGCAGCAGGAGCCCTTCTGGGGGACGGAGGGTATCCTTGCCTTTTATTTTTTACTTTTAAAAAAGATTTTATTTGTGTATTTTTAGAGAGGGGAAGGGAGGGAGAAAGAAGAGAAATATCAATGTACAGTTGCCTCTCGAGCACCCCCTACTGGGGACCTAGTCTGCAACTCAGGCATATGCTCAAACTGGAAATTGAACTGGCCACCCTTTGGTTTGAAGGCCAGTGCTCAATCCACTGAGCCACACCAGCCAGGGCATTTTTATTGTTCTTAAAGATAAGTAAATGCTGAGGACTAGAAGTTTGGACAGTCAAACACATAGTGGTCCAAGGACAGCCTCTGGCAAGTGAGTATCAAGATCCTGCTTCTGGCACTAGGAGACCGAGGGCAAGTGACAGAGCTGCACTACGCCTCAACTTCCTCCTCTGAAAAGCTGGGCAAGATAACTGGATGCTTATGTAGAGTAAATGAGATCAGACATGAAACTTCCTTACCAAGAGTAAGTGCTGCTGAGTAAATATTAGCGGGGCTATTACTACTATCCAACAATTGGTTCTGGGCAGTGTGAGGGAAGGGCTCAGTTATTTTATAGTTACTGCTGTATTCCCTAAAGTGTTACTTTTAAAAAAATACATAGACTTTTGGAAATAGAAAAAAAGATGATTTTAAAATATGTAAACCTTCAGGTAACAAAGACGACTCTAGTTTTAAGCCATCATCTTAGCCCCACAATGTGAATGTACTTAATGCCACTGAAGCGTTCACTAAAATGGTTAGTGTGGTGCATTTTATGTGCATTTTAGCACAATTAAAAAAGCCAACAATGGCATCATCAACAATAACAACTTCGAAAAATTCCATATCACCAACCTCAAAAAAATTATGAGCAAACCGGTTCTGAAAGTGTTTCTGGGACTATTAGGAGAGATGAGATGAGGCTTGTTTTCTGCCTTGTAAATAGGACTCGAGAGCCTAAATATCCTACAGCGAATACTTCTTAGTTTCCGGTGTTGACTCACAGCCCCAGCTTCTGAGTCCGAGAGGTGGGTTGGAGCCCAGCCTCGCCTGTTACTCGGGTATGACCTTGGCCGGCCCGGTCCCCGCACCGGCCCCTGCCCGGGCCCCTGAGAACCTCCTTTCCCCCCCGGCCTGGGAGCCTGGGTGACAGCTCGCCTTCTCCACAGCCCGCCCCGCCCATCGGCCCCGTGATTGGCTCCCACTGGGTCGCGCCCCCCCACCCCCAGGCGGGCCAGCAGCTCCAGCCCACTGGGTCTCAACCCGGAAATGCGGCTGGGAGGTGCCGACCCGGCCAACCAGGGCTGCGGCGACTGACGCGACTAGCGGGCACCACCAATGGGTGCCCGTGGCGGCGGCGGTTCGGCGGAAGTCCCGCCCAGCATCGCGAGAGAGTGGGGCGGTGCCGGGAGGCCGTGAGCGGCTGGGCGGGCGCAGGATGAGGGCGGCCATTGCTGGAACTTCGCCGCGGGCAGGAGGACTCTGAGGAGGCTCCGAGCGGCGCAGCGCTGCGGTGAGGTGCCCGAGCGGACGCGGGGTCCATGGCCAGGACCACCAGCCAGCTGGTGAGTGCGGTCGCGGCAGCCCAGGCGCACCGGCCTGTCACCTCTCCAAGCGCAGCGGCCGCCGGGGTCCGGCAAGGCGAGGCGGGCCGGGGTTCCGAGGGCCGGGTGGCGTCTCATCTGGGGCCCGGCAGGAGGGCGGAGGACCGTGAGCACTGTGGGGACGCCCCTCAGCCACCGAGGGGAGCGGGGTCAGGGTGCGGCATGCGCACCGGCCCAGCTGGGGCCCTGACAGGCGCGCTGCAGGCGGGGAAAGCCGGGCAGTTGTCACCGGCCCGTCGCGGTGGAAGTGTTTGGAAAGTTTGCTTTTGGCGTGGCCTGGAGCGGAGCCTCCGGGGTTACCTTTGGTTCTGTGTACGGAGGAGCCGCTGCGAGCCTTGGCCTTGGCAACGGGGTCCGGATGCCTGTTTCCTGGGACCCCGTTGCAGAAGCAGAAGCGGGAGGTGCGAGTGCTTGCTCACAGCACCAGGTGCCCCGGGCCTTCCAAATTCCTGGTTAGCTTGGAGTCTGACACTCCTTGCCTTGCCTGCCCCGCGGGTGCTTTCCTGCCCTGAGTCCACGCTCCGGCATGGGCACAGGTATTGTGGGAAGCTACTGCGGGGGTAGGGGGTGAGTGGGGGGAGGGACAGTGACAGGGGGGAGGGACAGTGACAGGGAGGAGGGATTTGGGGGGGGGGGGGAGAATAGGCTTGCTGTGTTAAAATTTTTGCTAAAAGTATCGCTAGTGTTTCTGTGTTTTTCCTCTTGCTAAAAAAATTCCTCGTGATTTTATGGTTTTATTGTTTGTTTTTTGTTTTGTTTTGTTTTGTTTTAACTCCGCTAAGTTCTGGACTGTTGGGAAGCCAGATTAGAGATGTATACCTTGTGTGCGCATGTGAGGTGGGTGATGGAAGGATGTCTAGACAGCTTGCCAAGTTTGGTTCAGAAAGCAAATCCCTTAAAGGAAGGAAGACCCACGAATGTACTTGACCCCTTCTCTTTTGGGGGGCTTATGAGCTTCTTTGAGAACGTGATGGAAGGTGTGCATCCTCCCCTAAGAAACAGGCACAGCTGCGCGGAGTTTTGTAATTCAGGAAGCTCTTGAATTTCTGCAGCCCATCCGTGGACTTCATGTTAAGAACACTTGGCTTTGTAGAGCTGGGTGATAATCCAAAGTCTAAGAGCAGGAGGACCTGTTCTGTTGAGGACAATGGTGAAAGGCTGGAGGGATGTCTTTGATTATTGCTACATGTGGTGCCTGAGCTAACATGCAAAAACTCAATTTTGGATGCTTGGAGGCTGAGGTGAGGATAATTCTCGACGTTTGTAAAATAAACTTCCTCACCATGATGCTGTTGCAGTGCAGCATGTGCACTTTGATGGCATCCATCGGAAGGGGAAAGGGGTGCATTTTCGCAGAGTTTTGGTAGTTCTATGTGATGGATGTTTGTGTGGAGTATTCTTTCCACAGGGCAGCTTTTTAGTGCAAAAAATGCTGGAATCCAATGGGAAGAAATGGATTACAGAATAAAGGGTAGATCTCCTGTCAGGAAGTGAGAGGAAGGAGGTTTTTGTGTCTGCAGCTGGATTCCATCACATGTACATATGTGTGTGAGGGTACGCCGTGTTTGCCACCAGTACTGGCAGAGACACCCCCAGTCTTGGATTTTTCACATGAGGACAGGTAGAGTTGCATGGTTCAAGTGAGTTTCCTGTTTTAAGTCTGGAATTTTTAGGTGTCACTGTATGAGGATCCCCTGTCCGATGATTAATTTTCTCATTTCTTGAAGTGTGTACAGCCAGCAGGGAGGGGGATCACTAGCAGTTGTGAAGTCTGCAAATGGCCTAGCCCAGCTTATGGGAAGGTGGGCCCGATGCTGTAGCACTACTGATTGAGCACTTCCTTTAAGGCAGGCACTTGGCTGGAGAGCTCACACGTGTGGCTTGGCTTCTGCCAGCAGCATTGGAGGTGGGTTTTGTTCCCATTTTACAGATGTGGAGACTGAGCAATGGCAGAGGCCCAGGTGCCACCCTGCCCCTCAGGTGAGGAGTGCCAGGGGGAGGGTCTACTGGGCAACTCAGTGCAGCACTGGGCCTAAGGAAGTCCTTGGGGCCACTGCCCAGGAGGTCTTTTCCTGGGGATTGTCCTGAATGTCCTGACAGTGCTAAGGCCGGAGGGACACTGTCACATGGAAGGACCGCATGCATACTTCTTTGGGCAGAGAGCTGAACTCCGTGACCCCCGGAGC